TGTAATGGTGGAGGTGACTCAACATTTTCTTCAATGGCCGAGAGCTCTGTCGCACCCTGTAATAATCAACTGACTAGGTTATATTATGCTTATACTGAGCTGATATACAAACTCCCCTCTCCCCCACAAAGGTAGAGATTGGAATTCCAACCCACAACCATGGCTCGACGAGTCCGAAGTTCCTTTCACCAACCTGTGCGGAGCAAGTACAAGACTACCACTGGCGCTGACTCTGTGCAGTGCATGCAGTGCAGTACCATCACACACTCTGTGTGACTTCAGTTTAGTACTAGTTACATGGGAAGTAACAGCTATGCGCCAAGTAAGTTAGTTTGAACCTCACAGTGCTAGTGACCGTTACCGCGCGCAGATCTCACCGCGGGCTCTGTAAAAGAACCGTTTGCTCATTAGAGACATAGAGTTCGTCTCCTTTCCAAAGTGAGAGTAAAATGAATCAGCACGAGCCTGTTGAATCGACTCCCAAACGTTTCTTTGGTTCTTCTGAGGACGACCACGAATCACGATGCCATTATTCAAGCAGCAGTTTCCAAGAACACTGGCAGTGCCATGGATTATGGCTGCGCATGTTCCGTCCGCTCTGCGAGGGACGCGGAAAGGAGAACATCGATTGGAAAACCGTCAGTAGTGAAGTTCCGTCGCCCCTGCTATCTGCATTCTATGTCGATGCAAAAACGCAGGAGGGCTCGCCTTTCTCCAAGAATTGTCTCAAAGTAGCGGCACGGGGGGCTCTTCAGCCGCACATGTTGAGTGCTGCGCTTGACAGACGGAGTGCCAAAACAGCGAAAGAAGGACAGCCTCTAACGTCAGGTGCAGGACAAGGCACCTGTTACACGATTATTTCAGCGACATCGATGACACCAATGGCAACGACGCAGTAAAACTTACCTATTACGAATGGTTCTATCTGATGTTGCGCTTTGTCTTTGTGGAGGCGAAATGTAAGCCTCCATCAAAAAGGACGACGTTGTATTCTTCATCGTTGACGGGAAAGAGATCCTGAAGTTGGGACCGTCGTGCATGTCGAAAAACCATCAAGGCGGACTGCGGATCACTAGTGTGATCCTAAAAAAAGGGGTTTATATACCAGTTTATATACCCGTTTATATACCAGTTTATATTCTCGTCATCGAAGTACCTGTTATATGCAAAATACAAGTCTGGAGTGTTGTGTGGGGAGAGATGGGAGTTTGTATACAAGCTCAGTATAAATACCAGTACATCATTCAATACATCAGTCAATACATGCCTTACTGAACATTCTTACAACCTGTTCATGTTCCTACATGTGTGGCCTTAGAAGGTTTAAAAAAAAACTCTGAACTACATCATGAGTTGACTACATCATGAGTTGAAAGCCAGTAGAACAGAAAGGCTGTGCTGGCTATGCTGTAAGTTCAGGGCTCACCACGATCATACAAAATTCAAAAGCGTCCACCACCATTTTGAAAAAGATGGCGACGGTCGCTAGGCCAGAGTTTGTGCAGTCATAGTGGCTACGCAGCCGAGCTCATGCTGATCGATGTACAGCCATGTTCGGTCTAGTCGTGATATACCGGTATTTTACGACTTCCTGGTCTAGTCTGTACAGCGAAGGGCCAGTGCCGAAGCGAATCTTGTTGTTTGATGTTAAGAAGGACACGCGGAGAAGACGTCCTTTCTCCAGGCCATATTGGTCATTTTTCTCAATCCGCTGGTGCGTGTTGACCAAGATATGTCCGTGAGGTGCTGGTGAACTTGAGTCCTGGCATCTACAAGAATTTTCCGCACCTAGCTACCCTATGTTGTCAGTAGAACTCAGCGTTTCCTGATCGCGACTCGGCACGGTCTTTTCTGTTTGACCTAGCAGCTTTCAACCTGCGAGTGTTAGGTTTCCTGGCCACAAATGAATTCCTTAGTCATGACCATGATGACAAGTGACTGGTATGATCCCTGACTGGCCTGAGTCCTTAGCTTGAGTCAACACGAAGGTTAACTCTTCACTTGGAACGCTTGCTGTCCCCCGGTCCCTTCTTGTTGCACTTGCAGATATGCGCACGGCTGCCATGTTTCGTTGGACACACGGCCGGCCTTGATGTCTTCAAAAAAGTAAAATAGGGGTTCTATTTGGCCGATTCTCACCGTCGATAGCTCATTTTCTCGGTCTTGGAATTCCTTATCGGTTCCTCCTTTATTCCCGATCAAACTCGCGCACTTCCACCAGAAGTGGGTGACTGTGCCCTACTATAGGGGGATTTGTATGCAAAAAGTCTCTAAAGGCACAGTTTCGTTCATGCCTGCTTACACCAGGCCCGGCGGAACCGGTCCGGTTGGTCAGGCCATGGCCGGACCAACTTTTAGGCCACAAACATGATTGCGTTTACTGCTGAGGAGGTCATGTGTACTAGTATACCCTCCATATCATACACAAACTGTATGAAAGTCATGTGACTACCCTCCATATCATACACAAACTGTATGAAAGTCATGTGACTACCCTCCATATCATACACAAACTGTATGAAAGTCATGTGACTACCCTCCATATCATACACAAACTGTATGAAAGTCATGTGACTACCCTCCATATCATACACAAACTGTATGAAAGTCTAAGGTATGGCCGGACCGGTCAAAACCTGCTTCCGCCGGTCCTGTACACTATAGGTGAGTTCTTGTGTGTGGTGTGTGTGTGTTTGCTGTGAACATGTGTGTGTGCATTTGCAGCTACATTCTTCACAGCATCCAGAGAGACCTTCCCCACGTCCAGATAGACCAGTACTATCTTGAAGGGTTCAGAAGTGGCTCTCAGCATGCAGGGTTTGTCAATATCATTCGACCGCGTGGTATGACAGTTCATGCCGAGTGCTTTATCCCCGAATCTGTTCTTGCCGATGTTCTGAAGGTAGGCTACCATTCACTGCTGCTGCTACTGTTGTTGCTCATGCTGCTTGTGCTGCTACGGCTACTGCTGTTGCTGCTTGTGCTGTTGCTGTGACTGCTGCTGCTGCTGCTATTGTTGTTCCTGCTGCTGTTAACCCTTTGTGGGTCTTACTCAATGTATGTGAGGGGTGGTCAAGAAAACACGCGTACAAACAACCAGCCATAACTCAAGTTCTGTGAGTTGTAGGTATGGGTAAACTATATATTTTCAAAATCTGTATGCCTGGACGAGTCCAGAAAACACAAATATGACTATGTCCAGGCAAGGGTATTACCCGTGGTAGCCCTTCAAGTTGAGAGAAAATACAATTGCGAACAAAAAACACAAAAATCACAGCGCGAAGTGCATACCAAGTTCGTGATGGAGCTGAAGTCCTATGATAAACAATCAGGTAAGCGCTACGTCTTGGTGAAGAATACATGCTCCTAATTCCGTCCTTGAACTCCAATACCTCGCCATCGGCGATGCACCAGCAGCAACAGTTCCACAATATCACAATTTTGGTTCGTTCACCTCAGCGCCGCTCGCGTCAGATTCACTCTCGCTCAAATGAGTACTCAGGCGCGATGTCACGCATGCCGTGATTCTCACGGCCAGGCGGATCAGCTGATCGCACCTGACAAGTCCTTGTAAGAGTTGCTGTTGCTGTGCTTCCTCGCTGGTTGGTAAATTTGATTTCTTCATTCGGGGACGATTTATTTGAGCTAGGAGGACTCAACGGAGCTCTCTTTCTCACGACATTACACTGGAAATCCTCCAGGGAGACCCAGCCTAGACTGGTGCCGTCAGTGTCCTCAGAAAGCTTTTCTGACACGGCATCAAGAGATGCACTCCCATTCGCGAAATGCGCGCATGGCGGATGGTCGTCTTTTCCAATTTCACCAGACTTCAGTCGATCGATACTGCAAAAATTTGTATGGTAAGTATGGTTGTTTTTTACACCGTTGGAAAGCCTTGGACCTCAGCTATGCGTGGAGCACCATTTTAGTTGTCTCCTAGCAACAAAACTCACAGAAAATGCGATTTTACTGTAAGGGTCACATACGACCCTTTCGCTTA